CCCACATCAGAAACCCACCTCATCTAGGCCTTCCTCCCTCAGAAACTGGGTGTTGATGATCAATATGGGCTGTTAGGAAAAGGTGAGCCTGCCACACCCTCCCAGAGAGTCCCATCCTCTTCCCTGCAAGGATCAATTTCATTACCCTTCAAGTCCACCCAAATACCTCCTGTGACCCTCCATGAAGTTTATGTATTAAAAGCTTTTGCTTACAAAGCAAACTGCTTGTATGAAATAATTCTTTCTACCTTTGAAAAATACCCAAATACCTCCTGTGACCCTCCATGAAGTTTATGTATAAAAGCTTTTGCTTACAAAGCAAACTGCTTGTATGAAATAATTCTTTCTACCTTTGAAAAAGGATACGTCTGTAATTACCAATCAGAGCTTCAAACAGTGTAGAGTAACTGGCAGACAGTTTCATCCAAAAGCAAAAAAATCCATGTTTTTATTAGTCTGTGCAGCCTAATTCTGGTTAAATGTACATTTTCCTTTAAACTCCTTAAAATAACAAAAAGAACTTGCAGAAAGCAAAGATGGCTGGGATTTCAGAGTAGGAATAACTGTCGCCAAAGTAATAATTCTAATGGTGAGAATTTCAGACATCAGCATGGACTCCAAACCTGTGTCCCAGTAATAGCCACATACTCTGCTGTGCATTAAATCAGCCCTGCATTAGTTGAAAAAAGTTCCAGGGAAGACAATGTAGATGGAATGATCAGAGTTAAGAAAAAAAAAGCAACACTTCAAATCTGTTCAGCTGTGTTCTCTATTGAAAGGAAAGAAGGAAAGAAATAATGGACTCACTACATGCTATGGGGTTTTCAAACTTGAGTGTTCATAAGAAACACCTGGAAGGCTTGTTATAAAATTATATTCCTGCTCCAACTCCCGGAGATGCCAATTCTCCAGTCTGAGCTGGGGGTTGGGATTCTGCATTTTCATCAAGCACCCTGAGTGATTCTGATGCACGTTTTTTCCTTAACTTGCTCTTTTAAAAATTCTCAGAATGTAGGGAAGTTCCAAGAACAGGACAATGAACACCTTGATCCTTTACCAGGATCAAGGGTTGGCAAAGTTTTTCAGTAAAGGGCCCAAAAGTTCATAATTTCAGCATTGGGGGCCTTATGGTCTCTGTGGCACCCATGCCACCCTGCCACTGTAGCACAAACACATCCTCAGTCAACATGGAAGCAAATGAGCTCGGCTGT